AGAAACGACGGATAGGCCGGAAGGTGAACCGCTCGCTGACTTGACTCGACTCGACTCGATTACAGCACAGTACCGTATCCGACTTATTATCCGAACGAACGACGACATGGACAGTGAAGGTGACGACAGCAGGAGGGAGTAGGCAGCGGTGGTGTCTATAGGACTGATCCCACCCCTGTCGGTTCCCTGCTCCTTCTGTGTGTGCTTTATTCACTCACTCATTGACTCGAACGCGTGAACCAACCAACCAACCAACCAGCCAGCCAACTTGCCCACGTGGGTGTGAAAGGGCGGCTGGGATCGGAAGCGCAGTTTCCCTCCCGCCCCTTCGCTGCCGCAGCGCGTTATCGCCACTGATTGACTGGGCAAACACAGTAAATCCCTGCTCGGCTGACTCGCATTCCTCACGCCTCCAACCCTTTTTTCTGGAGGAAGGTCATACAGTACCTGCGCCCGCCGTGCTGCTTCCTCAATCCCTTTTATTCCCCCCACCGCCTCCAGTTGAAGCGCAGTTTAGTCGATTATTGTACGCTTGTCGGATGCATTCCTGCTGTGCCAGGATTATCCCAAGACCCGCGGAACGAAAAAATTGCGTAGAGCGTTTTATTCTTTAAAAAAAAGCTTGATTTTTTTTTATACCAAATTTCAAAATAAAATGTCTCGATATCTCGACAAAATTTAAGAAATTGAGAGAAGGGATGCATTTTGCCTCTTCTTGCGTTTATATTATTTTGTGATACTCTACTGTATTCTGAAAGATTAAAGCACGAATGCAGCAGGATTGATTAAATTTCATATACTGTACTGTTCTTGACGTTACACATTTTCAAAAAGCACAATTTATGCGAAAAACGAAATGAAGAAAAAATAAACAGGCGCAAGGTTTTACAGTACAGTATTATGACTTGTCGGTGAGTGACCGAAACAAATTGAGTAATCTGCGAGGCAACCTTGGAGGAAATAGCCTTTCGAAAATTCTGCGTGATGAAGGGTACCCAGAACTGGATTAGTTCCCTTATGTGGGGACCGTAGTATAATACAGATCCTGTATTTGTTTCGGCATACCCCGCCGAGGTATTCGTCCTTATCGCGAAGTTATATTGTACAGTACAGTACATTATACCCACCCATCTTACTCGCGCGCCATTAGCTTAGGGACTCGGGATGCGTGCGAGACATGAAGCTGCAGGAAGGTTTGTACAACACACGCTACAGGACGTAGTGAATGTGAGTGAACGGAGAGGGTGTGTGAGAGAGAGAGAGGAGTATTGGGAAAAGGAGAGAGAGACAGCGAGAAGACGGAGGCTCTCGAATTTTCTCGTTCCCCTCCTCATCTCGCCCCGCAAGTTCCTCCTGAGCTCGAAAATACTGTACTGTTGGGGCGAATCATCTACCCCCGCTTTTCGAAATGCTGCCGACTCCACGAGGATAAACACGCGGAATCGACTGGCTGGAAAAACAGGATCATTTTCCTTGCGTTTCAAGACAGCACCCTGTTCAGGCTTGCTTCTCGGGACGCGCAGGGTCCATTTCTCACTTGGACGCTCGACATTTCGTGCCCAATTTGCTGGATTCCTCGTATTTTGCCTGTCTGACTGCTTGAACCTCCCCTCCCGCTCTCCAGTTTCGTAACTCCGACGTGGCGTCGGGATTTGAGGAGTGAGGGAAGAGAGACAGGCTAAGGAAGCCTTGGCGCTTTTTTGCGCAGGGTGCTCGAATCCGTGGGGCTCGTGTTATGCAGCGGCGCATACGAACTGGTGGACAAGCGAGACTCGCAGAAATCCGATCCTCGCTACGGGTGCAACTGGAAGAATAACGAGTCCAAGCAGACCGAGGAAAAAAGAGAAGAAAAAAAATAAAGAAGAAGTACGGTATGTCGGCTTGAATCTTCCCGATCGGCACCGAGAACTTCCTTGACTGCGATGCGAGCAGTTTTCGGGCGTGTCGCGCGGCGACTGGATGAATGAGTCGGCCGGCGACTCGGTGCATGCATGTATGCCGGCCGGTGGCGGCTGCGGCGGTCGGGCCGTCATTATCTCGTCTCCGTAATTGGGGGCCGAGAGCGCGTTATCCCGGACCCGCAGGTGCGGAAGGGAATCTTAAATCGCGTTTAATGAGACTGGCGACGTGCGATGCTGTTGGCGTCCTCACCACCTTTTCCTCCGTTCTTGTTCATTCCTTCACTCGTTTGTGGGTGTCGTGAGATCGTCGACTGACTACCTACCTACCTGTTGACGTCGGACGGAGGAGTCGCGACGCTGGTGAGTGGTCGGTTTGTCCAGGGATGAGAGAAAAAATCGCGCTTCATGTACAGTACGGTACCTGAGGATCGAGAGACGGCCGGAGGGCTGGATGAGACGAAGGATGCCGGAGGTGGGCAGATCGACTGGGAGCTAGTATGAGATGGATACACAGTACAGTACCGTATACTGTGCCTACGGTTTTCGCTCGCCGCGGCCTCCGCTGGGAACAGCATCACACACACGAACGGGGGGGATGGGGAAGACGCGGAGCGCGACTTCAAAGGGAAATTGCGGATGATTATTGGACCAGGCCAGTGAATCTCGTCGTCGTGGAGCAGGGAGGTGGTGGTGGTGGGGGGAAATTCTCGCCGGGGGAAAAGGCAACGCCACGTATTTTGTTCTTATTCTTATTCATTTTTCTTTTTATTCCTTCCGCTACTCGTTTCTCTACTACAGTATCTATCCATCTCCGCTATCTACAGTAGTTGTGAACCCGAACCGGAGGGAGGGATTCTGCCCTCCTTCCATTTGCTCTCGCTCTCATCGGGATGAGTGAGTGATACTTGTCGGCGTCACTTCTTACTCTACTCATACGGCACTGCTGTAGCGACGTCCAACAGAAGGAAGGGCTTTAGCGCGATTTTCCCTGCCGATCGCGGAGTTCCTGCTCTCAACGCCTTTCGTTCATTCCTTCATTGCTTTTACTCTAATGCACACTGGTACAGTATCGTAATGTGCGTGGCAGCGCAGTGCAGTATTTTGGTTCCCTCCTCCCCGTGTTCGGGAAATGAAATTCCAGCCCGAGTCCGGATCGCATTTCACAACACCCGGCCGACCGGCGCCTCCGGAGGCCTTGCTGTGAGACGCTTGCTACCGAACGCTTGCTCCCCTCCGTCCGTCAGCTTCCGGCTCCCGCTCATAACAAGGTGACGACAGTCTGAAAACACGGTGCACTCTGGTCGTCGTCGTCGACACCGACACGGCGTGCACACGCGGCTGTCCTCTGTTGCCTACCTCCCGCCCGCCGTGGTTGGCTACCTGAAGAGCGAGAGATGCACGAAGCATGGATTCCTGCTGTTGCAGTGTTTTCCTACCGGGATTCTCGGTCGTCGTTCGTGCCGACCAGAAGCCGAGTCGGGACACGGGGTCGACGCGTCCGCTCGTACTGTAGTACGTATTACAGTATGTGTACACCGCATTGCACACTGCACTTGAATGCCGGCTCAGTGCTTGCTGGACAAAGGAGCGAGAAGAAGGTTGCTTGCTGCAGTACTACTTTTTGAGCGGGTACTTTCCGGTGGGATGGCGACGCATGGGAGAGGGAGAGAAGGATGTATGGATGAATCAGGGGCTATTTTGTACGGATAGAAGATGGATTCTAGTGTTGATGTATCGTGTAGACTCCGTGGCGTAGAGTGGAGAATACAGCTGCTGCTGCTTCTGGCTTGTAATTTTTTTTCCGGGGTATAGAGCAAGCATTGAGTTGAATAGCTGACGGACACGGATCATGCGTGAGCCTGTCGGTGATTTGCATGCGTGTGTCGAGTTGTCGCGCCCGTTTAGCATGACGGAACAATGACGAGTCTAGAGGAGGGGAGTGGAAAGAATGGGATGGGATGGGATGGGATAGGGGAAGTGATGGGGCGTGCGGCGGGGATTAGGATCCCGTAGATGCTTGTTTGCACTGGGATCCGGATCCCGCGCGCAATAAATCCGATCGGATGTTGGTTTAGGAGGGCTTTTATTCCTTCGTATCCGGGGGCTCAATTGGGGTCAACGCGGCCAGCTCGTGGTCTGCGTATCATCGTTCCCCTCTCATCCCCGAGTTGACATGTGTTGACACACTCCAGGGCAGCAGCATCATCATCATAATAATAATCATGCTCCTCATCATCATCCTCAATCCTCAGCCCCCTCCATCCTCCGCTTGCTCGTCCCTGTCATCAGGTCCGCTTTGTTCGAGCGTGTGTCGGCCTCCGTCCCAGTCCCCCCCACCTCCTACGAGTCTCGTCGACCGTGTATCCTAATCACATTTCAATGCCCTGCGTGTATGCATTCATTTCTATACACTCTCTATCTGTCTACCGTATTATTTATTCATCTCTCCATCTACACCCTGCAGTGAGCAGTACTGCATTTACACGTGCGTATCATCTCGGTTTCATCGACTGACCGACGATGACAGGAGTCGTGCTCTCCTGTACTGATGTGTCATTCGTGTTCAGCACCGACTGGCGCATTTGGATTCGTGGTCCGTTTTTGTCGCGACCCTTCCCCAAGAGCACCGCACTTGACTTGCTACGGTACAGGGAACTACAGACGGTCGGGAATGAGCGCCACACGTTTGAGGAAATTCCGACCGAGTGATTCGCTCACATTTGGCGAAGATGACTGACGGACTACAGTACAGTAGAGTACTGTACCGTTCTCGTAGAGAGGGTGGCATCAATGGATGCGTTTTCGGTCGAGTGCGCCGCACTGATTCGTACTCTACGCTGCTCTGCGCTACTCTTTCGGCCGGTGTGCGGTGGAGAACCGGCAGCAGCTTCCTTGTGGGGAGTTGCGAACATTTCATCAGGACCCACTGGATGTGCGGGTCCACCAGATAGAGGAAGTAAACGAACGAAAAAAAGAAGAAATGAAATGAAGAAAAGAAAGGAGCACTTGGCTCAAGCTGGGCGATGTTCGGGTCTCCTCTCGGGTGCGAGCCATTCCGAGAGACGACAAAAACGGGCCTCCTAACGAGCCCGGCGATTGATGGGTCGTGACTCGGCGTCAAGAGCCTCGGCGCCAGAGAAGGGAGAGGGTCGTTTCTCACTACTGTTGTGTGCACACACCACGCTGTATCAGCAGCAGAGTACTGTACATTACAGTACAAGATAGCACGGCACGATTGTACAGGAAACGCTGCTTGACTCGTCTGGGCCTCGTGGTCTCTTTCTCTCTCTCTCTCTCTCTCTCTCTCTCTCTCTCTTCTCCCTCTCTGTTTCGTCAGTGTTGGTCTCATGTTCTTTTTTTGTTTTTCTCTTCCTGCTGCAGACCAGCAAGATCGGACTGGGGGCACACCATCCCGGGCATTATGGTTTCCTTCCGTACGCGGCCGCGGCGGCTGCAGCAGCAGCCCACGCGGCGTCGTCGTCGTCATCGTCGTCTTCGTCGTCGGAGGCATCTTCCGGCCAGCAGCCACCGCCGCCGGCGCACATGGGCATTCCACCGTACAACCTCGACCCCAAGTCAAACCCTCTCGGTGAGTACAATACAGTACTGTAATGTGGATTCGGGCTCGGCAACTTGGTTTTCCGGTTCCTTCGTTCTTGTGCGAGGATATTTCAGGATGTATGCTGCTGCTACTACTGTATATCATGCTTATGTCTTCTTTCCTTGGGAAGGGGGACGGTGGGATATTTACCTAGTTTTTCCAATTCTGTACACCTTTTTTTTTCTGTCTCGCTCTCTCTCTCTCCCCCTCCTCCTGCTCTTTCTTGCTCTCTCTCTCTCTCTCTCTCTCTCTCTCTCTCTNCTCCGTCTTCTCGCTGTCTCTCTCTCCTTTTCCCAATACTCCTCTCTCTCTCTCTCTCTCTCTCTATCTCTGCGTGCTTTTTTTTTCCCATCGCGAATCTCTTCCGGACTCGAATCGAGTCGACGACGCCGGCACAAATATTATGACGTGGCGAGTCAGCGTATGAAACCCGGCGCCGGGGGTGTCGGGAGACAAATTGAGCCGGGAGCGCTTACCTTGAAATTTGATAGGCACAGGTTTATTTTTCCGGATATCCCGAGCCGGAGCGAGCACCGGGTGAAAAGGGATTCGACTTCTTTATTATTCTCCCCCTCCGCATGCAGTACAGTATTTTCTTTTCTCGCCCTTGTCCTTCTGAACGAACACCCAACTCCACTCCACCCCACCCCACCCTACCCTACCCCACGCCCAGGTTTGTTTTTCAACCTGTCGATATTATTCCCGCTCTCCTCCATCCCGGGCCCCCTCCCTGCCCATGTGCTCAAAAATACTGAGCTAGAAGATCCGTTTACTCCGACTTGTGCTGGTGGAGAAGACGGGAAAAATATGATTTATCATGGAACCGAATGCCGTGCCGTACGGCTACGTCCAAGCCAGGGGTCGATGATGTTGGGGCATCGCAACTGTCGACGAAAAACCACCGTCCGCGTCCATCCTGCTGCAATCTGTAATTCGGCTCTCGGAGGTCGATGAAAGGTTGAAGATGTGGATGTACGCAGTGGGGCCCGGGTCCGACATCTGGACGATGCCTCGAGACACATACACTTTGCCAACATTTGTAGAAAAAAATTGGAAAAGTTTACATCTTCACAAATCTCTTGTAACAAGTTGAGCTATGCATACAGTGCAGTGCAGTACAGTACAGTATTTAAAAAAAAGAAGTAACAATGCATTTAATGTACAGTACACTATTACTGTGTAAGGCTTACTTCATTTCTCAATTCGAAAAAAAAAACTGTTTTCTGTTCCATCATCCGTGCACAGTGAAGTACTAACTGTACTGTATTTACTATAACAAGACTCGTCCACGTTTTCTGCTTCTCGAGCTGCTTCTCATGCCAAACGATCCGATTCCTCGTGATGTGTTTGTTTCTTCTTTCGGGAATGGTGTCCGGGTGAAAGCACCGTCCTGCTCGGTAAGCCTCCCATGGGAAGCAATGATCGCCTTTTCTTTTTCTGAGGTCACGCGTGATTGAGTTTGTATGATTAGCAATCCAATCGACGATTTCCATGCGCAACTGGAAGAGGAAAGTCTCGACGGTTGTTTCTGGAAGCACGATTTGTCCAAACGAGAATCGAGGAAAAATAGAGTACAGTACAGTACAGCATTCTGCTGGGGAATCCTGGGATGGAAAGCTTGGGGGAATTTCGTGAATGCCCACCTGTCCCAGCAACGAAACGCGAACAGCAGTGATGTACAGTACTGTATGTATGTATGTATGTATGTATGTATGTATACAGTATTGAGGTGCTCATCTCCCGTCCCGACTCCCGAGTAGCGCAGAGGCGCGAAACCGTGCGCAATGCCCGGCGTCTGCGTTCGGGAAGACGAGGGCGAGTCACTCGCAACCATGCAGAGGCACAATTGATTCTGGAAGCATGGCACAGTGCCGTGTCGCACGGTGCCAACTTCTTTATCCGCGCCGTGCAGCTTTCTACTACTGTACTGTACTGTACTATACTATACTGTGCAGCACACGCAGTACTGTCCTGCATTTCAGACGCGCATTCCTCTTCTTCGTGTTCATTGTGCCTGCCTCACAAGAGGCCGACGGATATCTGAGCGTCCGACGTCGACGAAACCAACAGTCGATTCACTCATCAAGCGATGATAGCTTGGCGGGTGTGATGTGCTCATCTCGCTTGTGACGACGCTGATCAAGGGTGCAACCCTTGATTGGCCTTGTTATGCCGGGAAAGCTTGGGCTTCGGGATCACCGGCGCGACCGAAGAGAGTCGCAGTCCGCACTTCGTCCTGTTCCGCGCCGTCGTCGTCGTGGACTGTAGACTTGTTGATGTTCTGCACGGTATCGATGAGGAGGGAAGATAACTGGTCTGGTGCTGTTGTTACGGTACCGCGTTTACTTGAGTACCGCGCGCCATCAAGTGAGACGCATACCGTAGATTTATTGCCCAAAATTTAGAAAGAAAAAAAAAGGTTTTCCCCACATGAGACGCGCATCCTGGAGTTGTGCAATTACCAAAATACCGTTTGAATCTGGATTAAGCCCACTTGCAAATCAAATGCATTAGTGTTTTTTTTCTTCTTCTTCATACGAATAATAGTAATATTGTACAGTAATATTAGAAAAGAGCAGTCAGAAAAATTTTGAAAGTGTGAAGAAAAGTTTCAAATGGTCATAAAAGTGTGTACAATCCAAGGTTTATACCTAACCATCAGACGGACCTCATTTTTTGCATTATATATATATATATATATATATATATATATATATATATGTATACGGGCAGTACAGTATTAATGTTGAGAATTCTGAGAGTAAGGGGGTGTGGAAATCACTTGCATCACCAACTCTTCTGGTCATGTGCACTCGAAAAAGGGAATGCTTGGATATCAGCGAAATATGATCATACAATTCCGAAAGTTTTGCGAAGAGAGCACGAGCAAGGCAAAACGAACATCATCCTGGCATCAAGAACCAGTGTGGAGCGTAGGAAAACATTTTTAGCTTAGTCTCTTTGCTCATTTCCGCAAGGGATCCCCTCTTGTTCCGGTCTGGTCCGAAACCTTTTCTGAAGCATGGATGATCTCTTCACAACATTCGCTCACTTTTCCGTGACTTCGGATAGTGATGTGAATTAATCGAATCCCGCGGGGATGGCGTTTCTAGCCGAGGTTTGTTTTTCATCTTTTCCTGAAGGAAAAAAAAAAGTGTGGGATAAAAAAACATTTTCAAGGAGATGGGGAATAAGCTTGATTTACTGGACCAGAACCCTCGGTGTAGTGCTATTGTACAATATTGTGCTGTACAGTACTGTACTTGTTCTCGGCCTCTCGCCCACCTGGACTTGGCGCGGAAAGTGACACCCGCGAAGCATTCGCTGCTGCGGAAGGAGCCTTATAGAAGTCGTGGAAGCTGGCAGTCGGCCGCGAGGAAGCGGATCGTGGACGAAGCGCGCGTCGAGGAAAGAGGCTCTGCGAGCGCCGGCTCCACGAAAAAATACCGCCGCCCGAAAATCACCCAAGGCCAATAATCCCGTTGGCCTAAGAATCTCGCGGGGTCCGAAAATCCCGTGTACTGCGAAATTGTAAAAGTGTGTCTGGGTTTTAAATGAATTGCGCCTGTGTTGGGATGAAACAGTTGATCAAATGGCAAGACCAGAAAATCAGTGCATTCATCCTGCCATGGCCTCGGGGTGGAAATCTTCTACAGTTAGAAACTCGTTACCTTTTAAAACCGTGATTTTTTGCTGTTTATCTTTCACAGTACAGTACTGTCCATCGAATACTCAGGTTGAAATGCTACAAAATGAAATATCACCATCAAACTGCATTTAGACTTTTTTTTATTTTTTCTCAATAAATTAGGAAGTGTGTGCACACCATAACCTGTTGTATTTGTCGAAGGGGATTTTTCGAATTCAAAAAAATTCATGGTTCGCAATTTTCGTTCCTGCGGGATTTTCGGACCCCACGAGATTTTTACGCCTTTGGGATTATGGGCCTCGCGTGATTTTCGGGCCGCGAGATTTTTTCTCCCACGGATTTTTTCCTGCACCCGCGAACGCCGTATGGTGTGTGCAGTATTGTATCCACTGTACAGTTCATGGTTTTTTTTTTTTTTGGAGGGAGGGGAAGGGATTGACTCCATCTGAAGTCCGGTGGCTCCGTCGCGAATGACGCGAAACGCGGGATTCGGCAGCCTTGGCAAGACCGGCCGGCGTCTTGGCAATTGGGACTTGGCGATCGCCTGGCTCGCAATTCCGCTCAAGGAATCGAGACAAGATCGCGTCATTCGTGGCACAGTCTTGTACTGTACGAACTGGCATCGGCGTATCCCAAGGACAACGTGGGGCAGGGGTTCCGAAATTCGTCTCATGCTGTGTGCAGTTCAGTAATGTACTGGACAGGGACATTCCATTGGAGCCATCTTCGCGCACCTGTTGTCTTTATTTTTCATTTTTGGCAGCTGCACCCTGGTCGACCTCGAGATCCGCTTGACCCGATCAATATCCCATCAACCGTTGAGGTAATGCAATCTTGTGAGATTCACTCCTCTGGGGTAAAGTATTTCCTACCGACTTTGAAATGCTTGGGCTAGATGGGAGTTAAGTCAAGTACAATATGGCACAGTCAAACAATGAAATACTCTACTGTACAATGCAATGCAAGGCAAGGGCGTGGTCTTGTTCTGCTGTCCTCTCCCCTGGGTGCATTCTCAACCTGAGGCTGGCATCCTCCGGGACTCGAGATAACGTGGAATTAGTCCGCTCCCCTTGAGCCCCTCTCCTCAAGAAGAATGGAGAAAGACAGAGATAGACCAAGAGACAGACTCACGCATGTATACATATACGAATGCATACACACACACACGAGGAAAGAAAGAAGAGAGACAGAAAGCGCGCCAGGTCCCTCATGCGCCGGTGAGGGGCCCCATGCTGGGATGGAATCTTTTTCCCCCCTCCCTCATCTTGTCTCCTCCGCTTGCTTGTTGGTGCTCCTCCCGTACGTGGCCGACAAGAGCAAACGGCATCACCGAAGTGCTCAGCGCTTGTGTGGTGTGCTCCCCTACCTACGGAACTGTCAGTCGCTCATATCATGACCATCTAATGCTGTTGTGCAGTCCATGCACTTCTGTCCGTTGCTGGAATGGTTGTGCAGTGCAGTACTATGTCCGCCGCGCAAGCGAACAGCTCCCGTTTCCCCCTTTTACGCCACCAGCACCTGTTCCCGCGTTCAAATCACGCGTCTCGTAAAGCGAAACCCATTTCGCGACGGCAACCGCGCGTGTGCCTCCTCCTTTCCAACAGTCGCCCTCTCGGCGGCCGTGTTATTGCTTCGGCTCGCGGGCTAACCGATCATGTCCAGGTCTTCCTTCACTCAGAACAAGTACCGCTCGCTGCAAGAGCCGATGATCTGCTTGCTTGCGTTTCTAACACGAGTCTCGTTTCTTTCGCCTTATTCCCCTTAGTTTTTGTTTCCTCACTCCATTATCTTCAATCGAAAGCTGTCCGTACTAAACTGGACTGTACAGGAAATGGAATGAATATACAGTGCATACGATGGTCAAACCTCGTTTCAGTGCCATCGTTTGTCCTGGCACATTTTGTGGCACCAAGAGAGGTTGGCACTGAATCATTAGTACAGTATTGTAAGAGAGGAATGAGGAAGGTTCTCTCCCCGTGTATAGGGGCTATCCATGACAAAATATCTTTTCATGTCTATTGATTTTCATTGCAGAGAAAATCAGATGCTATCATTCAGGAATCACGCATGTTCCTAGGAAGCTCCCACATCATTTATGAATTTTTTAAAGAAAGGAAGGCACCTAGAATTTATTTTTTATAAGTGAACTCAGAAATAGGATGTCGAAAGTTCCGTTGAATTTTTATTTTCACATGAGCATGTGATTCTCCGCGATAACATGAGGATATCGTATCTCTAAAAGAAAAAAAAAAAAAAAAAAAAAAAAAAGAAAAAAAAAAAAAAAAAAAAAAAAAAAAAGAGATTTCATTTATTTGATCCTGGCCCATTTCTCATCCACCACGAATAATTTCAGTGGCACTGCATGAGTTGACGCTGAATCGGGATTTCCCTCAATGACCCAATGGTGGGAAGTGTTTGACAGGAAAATTTGTGGCACTGAATTTAAGGTGTTGACTTTAAATTTTGTAAAGTGCAGTACAGCGTTGGTTTAAATACTGAATGTGGAGAGAGAGGAGACGATGTGATTCCAACTTGAACATCTGAATGATCTTGACTGGTGCCAACTACTGTACAGTATTTCAGCGTACAAGACATGCGCAATAAATGACGCCATGTCGTATATGTTGGATGCTCGGAAATGTCTCACGAACAGTCGAACCTTCGTCTTTTCTGGATTCTTGACGAACATACGAGAGGCTTCATGTTTTCAAGCGTCGCACGCTATTTCATTACGTGTACAGTACTGGAATACGGCACTGAGCTTCGCTGCATGATGTGGAGTGTGAGGAAAAGTACTGTAATGGGCCTTAGGCACGTCTTGTTGGAGCAGTCCATCTCGGACCGGGGGGGACACGCCGTCGGATTTCGAAGCTCGGGAATGGATCATCTCAGTGGGATGATCAAGTTCAATTCTTGACCGTCCTTCCGGTCGTGCCGGGTGTTGGCTCAAGGGGTTGCCGGCGTTCCGAGGACCCCCAAGATTTTCCATACAGTTTCAATTTCCTTCACCATTCAAAGAAATTCATTTTCTGCAATGAAATTGACGATTCTTTGGGCAACCTTTTTCATTTCTTGAAATGGATATGCAGTGAAACATGAAAAGCCGTACTGTACTCCGCAGCATCTCGTTCCCGGTTGTTAATGCTTCTGAAAATCCCGACTACAGTACTGTACTGTACTGTATTGCACACGACAGCTTCCCTAGGCAAAAGCCCAAGTTTTGCAAGAATTCCCGGTTTGATGATTTCTGTTCTGCACGCATGCTGTACAGTCCTTTAATGGTATTTTTTGGAGCTTTCTCCTACTTCGAAAAAAAAAAATTGAGTTTAACAGAGGGACGAAAGCGATGCTGTTGATGAAGTAAAGTTTTTTTTCTTGGGGCTTTGAAGGGGGGAAAAAACAAAAATCCGAAAATGTTGAGCATGACGATTTCTCGCAGTCTTTCTCCACCAGAGTTGGCATCGTTGCAAGTTATAAGTTCTTCGGGAATGTAGAACTTCATTGCCCATACAGTTGGAAAATATTCCGATGCTGCGTGAAACCCTGGAGAGGCGGGCGGGGACGAGCCAGGCGAGAGGTAGTGGGAGTGAGTGGTACATTACATTACTGTGCTGTACTGCATATGGCGCGGAGAAACTGTTGTCAGTGCTGTACTGTACATTTCTGTACTGTATTCTGTGTAGGAACTTTACATGGGTTAGCCCGTAGCTCGGATCGAGATTTTCATGCACGGAAGATATGTATGTACGGTATACACATACATACTCTGTAGAGTATTAGGAAAGCAGTTTCTTGTGACTGAAAAGTCTTGGTGAATGTTATGGTTTGGGAAAGAGACAGAGTGAAGCGTGCAGCTTTGAAAGCCACTGTTGATACGTTATTAGTCTCAGGACAATGTCCATCCAGGTCATGTTTTCAAGTGCTGTTTCAATGGAACGTGTTGGACAGTTTTCCATCTGGAACTACTGCATGTACAGTACCGTGTATTCCTTGGAAGATTTCCCTCATCAAAAGCACGCTTGGTCTTCTCCTCGGGAAGGTCGCAGGGAACCAACGTGGAATCTTTTCGGAGACGAACGAACCAAAAAAGTTACATTTCTTGGGGAAGGGGCAGCTTTCAAGATCAAGCCCTGAACGCTTGATGTCCCATTCTTCGATATGGACGGAACGACTGCCAGCACATCGGTTTCATACAAGTACTGTACAGTACTGTATATCCTAGAGAGACGGATTTCATTTCACTTCCACGAATGACGGCTTCTGTCCGTCCTTGGAGTAGCCCCTTCAGCATCTTGCAAATTTACAATTACTGTATTCGTAATGCGAATTTCCTCGTCGCGTGCCAATTCCTCGTCTATTTATACAATCGAATAGAACCATTGACCATTGAAATGCGAATTTAAAAAATAAAATAAAAATGAAATAAAAATAGAGAGGAGTGGGGGGGGGGGGGGGAGGGGGGATTAATCACTAGCCAATGTTGTTGGAGTCGCAAACACTGTACAGTAATGCTGAGCATGAAATGAATTTTCTTACGCCGTTTGGTACAGTACAGTATTAGGGTCGCACATGAAAAACGGTTCTTCAAGTGCTGTGGATTTCTTGGTTTTGTAGTCGCCAACCAACCAACGGGAGCATCGCTATCATTCAAACGACTTATCATTCGTCTTATTCTTTGTTCAAATTCAATCTGCAATGCAGGCTTCTCAGGGTTTTGCAAGGGGTTATGTTGCCGAAAAGGAACCCTAACTTGGTTTCCGCGTCAGGTGAGGAAACGCATCCTGATGCAAATATGCAGCAATCCAATGTAGTACAGTACAGTACAGTACAGTGTATTGTGTGCAAACATTCGCTCTTGAATGAATTTCTACTGATGGAATGTTCAAAGGGAAAGCGCCGTACTGTACTGTAGTAGGCGAAAACGCACCAGCTTGATTCACGTTTTTCACCCTGGACGAGAAAATGTTGCGTGAGTCAGCACTCACTCACTCAAAGGATCCCTCGGATGCGGTTTCCGTACTGTACAGTATTGGACTGTACTTGTATAGAATATACAGTGTACGGAGACTTGTGCACTTGGAATGTGTGGTGTGGCTCTAGTAAAGTGAGGGTTGCGCTTGACTGAGGGTTTTATCACCCAACTGTGAAGGAATGAAAGATCCTCCCCCGCTTTCGGCCAATTTATGGCAGGGATGAAACCACTAGTGCAGCCTGACATGGGACAGATGACGAATTCGGCATACAGTATTATGCAGTACGGTACTGTACTTTGAAATAGGCATGCAGTTACAGCACCTCTGGGGTGGTTATACTGTAGTGGGAATTCTTGCGAGGGGAAAAATTAATGAAGAGAACAGCATGTATACGAATGCCGTATGTGTTTGTGTATGTATGTAGTACACATTTAGTGACCTTGACATTTCCGTGTGCCGTGATCTCGGGAGGGTTTTGTACCTCTTACAAAATAACCTTATCCAATTGAACATTGCAATGCTCTATGCTGTACTGTACTGCACTGCACTGCACTGCACTGCACTGTTGAAAAATATTGATGGCTTGTTGGATAACTTTGAGCGAGGATTCCTCATTTTCAAGATTTCCATTTTGACCTACCAATTTTGACTTGAGGCATTCGCGTTTAAAATTATCGGGCTGATTTTACTTGATCATTTTCAAATGCAGTAACTGGGCACGCAGTAATGTGGGAGGATGCTTTGGAGAGACGGGGTCTGATGCGTTTCGTCATTGTCCCGACTCCTGACAAATCCGAAGAAAAAGACAAAAAAGCAGGGGTTTCATCGGAACAGTACTGTACATTCGATGTTGGGGCATTTTTCGCTTTCATCTTCGTGTTTTATACTCGTTCCAGACTGAAACAAACAGGAATGTGGAATGTCGATACAGTAATGAGAAAGAGATCCGAGGTCCTTGTGAGCTCGTTTTTTTGTTTTTTTTTGTTTTGTTTTCCTGCAGAAACCGTCGTGATGCAATGTTATCCTTGTTCGTTCGCCCGTTCCTTCATTTTCCAGGGAGAAACGCCGATGCCGTGTCCAAGTATTAATGGCCATGATGACTCACGAGTCCTGTGTCATGAACTCATGATTTACGTATTTTCTAATCATTATTATTTTTCCCCCATCCGCTCGCGTGATGTACTGTACTGTACAGTCATGCATTTACCGTCGTTTTTCTCGAATGCAGTACATGTGCCACGAATTCGTTTCGATTGGCCGTCGCGGTCTAATCAATTCAGTTGTGTTCTCCCCACTCGAGTAGGGCAGTAATGCTAAATAGGGAATCAATCGAACAGGTTCAGTATTTAATTTACAGTACCTCGAGTGCTCGCTGCATTCCCAAGGTGAGGGATGGGCTTGACCGTCGAAAATACGGACAAGTTCTTCAAGACTCGGTCATGACTGTATGTACATCTGTTTCAAATTCAATGCATTTTCTTTTTGATTATTGGACCTCTGTGAAATACTGGACTAGAGAAGTACAGTACAGTACTTCTCTACTTGACCTCCAGGGACCATCGTGCTCACCAAGACTGCAGCATTCATGCCATGCGCGAGCGAGGCCGTTTCTGCCTGAACAAAACGGATGACAGAAATAAAATACTCAGTTAAATTCATACGTCACGCAAAATCAAACGATGAAATCATCTACGAAACTTTGCTCACAGCACAAGTCTGATGCCCACGAAGTTTTGAGTAAGAGTGAGTAAAAATTTGGTGATGCAGTAAAAAATTAAGTTTATCCTCATATTCCCGTCCTGAATTTCACATAGTTTCTGGAGCAACTGTGTTCGAAGTATACTTTTGCTCGTCGTTGACAGAAAACTTCCGCCCACTGTTGAAAATCCAGCAAGCCCAATTTTGTTCTGCTGCCAAACGTTGCCTGTTGGTTGATTTTATGGCTAGTGAACTTCCATGTAGCGTTTCAGCAAGCTAAGCTAGATGGGTCCCATTTCTCTGTTCGTTCTCCTGACATGCAGTATTGGGATGATCGCTGAAAAAATTCTGCCCGATACTCGCATCCTATTCACAAGAGAGAGAGAGACTTCCGAATTTCAAAAGAGTGTCATCTGTGCAATTCCTGAAACAGTTTTTTTTTTTTTTTTTCAAGCGCTGAAATGTTTTCCGTCCATATTGGGGATTACCGAACTTTTGCCGTTTGCCAGGCAAGATACTCTAACTCTCACAAGTACACTGTACTGTATACTTTTCCGGTGGGTGTGTGAGGGTTCCCTCGTCAATACAGGTGCAGTACATTACTGTACTGTATTAAGCTGATTCATTTGCTGACCGATACGCGCCGAGCAGCGTGTGTCGTGTATGTTGCATGCGGTATAGTGGAGGGAAGAGGGCAGGAACGTGGTACGCTATTGTTTGAGGGAATGAATCTTCGGACAAGGTTTAGGGTGCCTGCCTTCTCGCCCTCCTCCGCGCCTGAGTGTGTGTGTGTGTGTGTGTGTGCTCTGTCATGACGGGTGCTAGGTCTTTTGCGATCGAATTGCCGTTTCTTTTTACAGTACAGTACTGTAGTGGGATCCGCATTCGCATGCGTCTCGAGAGATTCTATCCTAGAGGAAGGTCGTGCTGTCCGGATGAAACTTTCCGAGGAATGCAACTTTGGTCGCGGATTGCAGAGCAAGCGAAGAAAGAACGGCTACACGGCCGTTCTGCTTCGTCCTGCACCGCTGGTTGGTCGGGCGAAAATCGTTGAGATGAATCCAGTAGGGTTTAGAGGAGGCCCGACGGGGATCTCTTTGCCCTTCGTGCGGCGCACCTGTGTACTGTATTCCCTTCTCTCTTTTTTTTTATTGAAGTTTTGATGTCATCATTATTATTTGTATTTGTGCTTCCCGCTCCCCTCCAAGAACTTCTGTTCTGATGGTCTCTCCCCTAGTTTTTTTTTTCTTTCTTCCTTTCTTTTTCTCAACCGGGACCAGCGGCGAAAAAGCGTGAGCGCTGGTCCTTCTCCTGATTTGTGTCCCCTCTCTCGCTGCATCCCATTCTCTGGTTTCCCGATTATTCGGGTGTCGGAAGCTTTTCCTTTATAAATTGATAGTGGATGGCGACTTGGCATTGAAGGAGCAAGTCAATTTTTCAGGCGAGGGAACCTCGCCTCGTCCGTGTCGCGTTCAATGAGCTAGGACGCCAGCCGTGTTTTGTCAACGGGTTGCGCGAGAGTCTCATTTCTCACCGGGCAGAGTGAGAAGGCCGACTTGAGTGTACGGTTCATGTACGTTTTTTTTTTCTTTTTCTCTGCGGCTGCTGCTGCTGTTCCTTGATGTTTGCCCGGGTTTGTGTCGTCCGTCCTTCTTTCTCGGGCAATTGGCTGTTTGCTCGTTTTGTGGAGGGGGGGTGTGTGTAAGTGTATATCTTGCAATGATTTTATACTGTACTGTGCCACCTGCACAGTACAGTACTTTGTATGTACTCACCTCTCTCACTCGTACTGTTCAGTTGTGCACCGGGATCGGTTGCTATGCACAAGGAGAAGCCGTGAGGGTCAGGAAATGCGCTTCGCTCTAATCGCTCTTATTTTCTTTTTCTTGTCCTTGCAGGTCTCAGTCGTCCGATGTACCCGTTTCCGGGTCCGCAGTACCCGGCGTCCATGCTCACACCGGACTTTCCACAAATGGCCTGGTGAGTTGCTCGACAGTTTCTGAGGATGAACTATGCGTGCGCGATTACGTGGGAGTTGTTTTTCGTACTGCTCTTGCTTCCTCATTTGGATTTCATCTCGTGCCAGGATTCCCGCTCGCGCGGCAGTTCGGCGTGTCCGAGAGAAAATGCTGTACAGTACTGTACTGTGCTGTGTTCCTCCTCCTCCCACCACCACCACTGCTGTACTCGTAACGGTTGTTTCCTTTCCTTGACTGCCGCATCCTTGTGGCCTTTTTCTCTTTCTCTCTGTCTCACTCCATGTCCGTCGTCCAGTTCTTTTCTTTCTTTTCCTCTCCTTGCAACCAACGTGTCCTCCTCCCTCTCGAGATGGCATTGGATCGCTTCGCTTGTTGAGGGGATGCGAGGGGCCGTGGTCCGCGAGGTTCTTGCGGCTGGGCTGGGGGATTTATTGGGAGAGGAATCATTGAGGCCGTACGGAGGCGAACGAATTTCTTGGCGCCTTTCCGCACCCGAGCTTGGGTGAAATTTCTGGGCTTGCTGCGAGAAGAATAACGGATGGAGAATTATCGCCGGGGCGGTTTTGGGGGGAAGGAAAAGGGCGGTTTGGACTTGGGAATCGTGGGATCGCACGCGAGCGAGCTCTAGACTCACTAGAGCTAGACGAGGAGGATGCTGCCATGCGATTGCTCGTTCTGGTCTCTGTTCGTTGGCTTGTTCGCTTCCTCGTTTCTTCATGATCTATTCTTCGCAGGGTGCGGCCGGGGCCGGTGCGCTGATCTCGAGTTCCACTTGAGCGTCGTAACCGCTGATTTATTTATTGGTTCATTATGGCCCGTTGGTGTTGTTGGTCGGTCCGATCGGCCGGTCTGATTAGCGCTAGTGAGCGACGAGCCCGGGCCAAGTTCGAATCAATCAATCAGTTGGTCGGTTGGGGAGGGAGGGAGGGAGGTACGGACGGTCGGTCGGAGCGAGCAGACGAGGCCGGACAAGACGAGACGAGACAAGACAAGCGGGCATTGTTTGATGTGGAATTTGCCTGACGTGCGGGACAAGCGGGAAAATGACCGAGTGCCGATGAAGGATTGGGCCCGGCGGCTATATCCCATCATCCCATACGCGAGAGAGTGAGTGTGAAATGTCGGGGCCCCTTGCGTGCGTACGTATGTGCGTGTTGGTGAGCGGGGCGACCCGACCGACCGGGTCGCTTTAGGAAAGAACCACATTATTTTTTCGTATCCTCCTCCCCCCCCCCCCCCCCCCCCCCCCCCCCCCCCCCCCCCCCCCCCCCCCCCCCCCCCCCCCCCCCCCCCCCCCCCCCCCCCCCCCCCCCCCCCCCCCCCCCCCCCCCCCCCCCCCCCCCCCCCCCCCCCCCCCCCCCCCCCCCCCCCCCCCCCCCCCCCCCCCCCCCCCCCCCCCCCCCCCCCCCCCCCCCCCCCCCCCCCCCCCCCCCCCCCCCCCCCCCCCCCCCCCCCCCCCCCCCCCCCCCCCCCCCCCCCCCCCCCCCCCCCCCCCCCCCCCCCCCCCCCCCCCCCCCCCCCCCCCCCCCCCCCCCCCCCCCCCCCCCCCCCCCCCCCCCCCCCCCCCCCCCCCCCCCCCCCCCCCCCCCCCCCCCCCCCCCCCCCCCCCCCCCCCCCCCCCCCCCCCCCCCCCCCCCCCCCCCCCCCCCCCCCCCCCCCCCCCCCCCCCCCCCCCCCCCCCCCCCCCCCCCCCCCCCCCCCCCCCCCCCCCCCCCCCCCCCCCCCCCCCCCCCCCCCCCCCCCCCCCCCCCCCCCCCCCCCCCCCCCCCCCCCCCCCCCCCCCCCCCCCCCCCCCCCCCCCCCCCCCCCCCCCCCCCCCCCCCCCCCCCCCCCCCCCCCCCCCCCCCCCCCCCCCCCCCCCCCCCCCCCCCCCCNAAGAAAGAAAAGAACTGGACGACGGACATGGAGTGAGACAGAGAGAAAGAGAAAAAGGCCACAAGGATGCGGCAGTCAAGGAAAGGAAACAAGAGGGAAGAGAAACGAACGTTCATTTTCGTGCTGGGCGTGATTGATGGGGCAGCGAAACGAGACGAGACGAGAAGACCCGATTTCCAACCAACCCCCTTGTCTTCTTCGTTTTTTAATTCATCGCGTGCTTAGAAGGAGGAGGAAGATGAAAAAAAAATGATGGTCATCATCATGCATCAGTTCCTGTCTATGTCTGTCTGCGTGCGTGAAGGAGGTACGACACGCGCAGTGTTCTCAACTCTTGCGCTCACTCAATCGGTCGTCTATTTCGGAAGAGTTCTTGAATGGATGTGATTCGTTTTTTTTTTAGGGCGAATCCGGGGATGTACCCGATGGCGTCGTCGGGTGTCGGAGGCCTGCGTGCATACTTCCCAACGCACATGACCGCAGCTGCAGCCGGCTCTTCGGGCCTGTCGAGGCTCGGCACGCCGCCTGGGTGAGCGAAAACTGACGTCGTATCCATGCTTCGCTTTCTTTTTCTCCCCCTCTTTCGTGTACTCGGGCGACACCTACCGAAGGAGAGAAGGATGCGTTCGCGGGTTGTTTGTTATATACTGCTAGATGTCGTCTATTCCATACCGCTACAGGTTCTCCGCGTGTGTCTTGAATTTTCTTTTCAATCCGATACTTGTAGGAGCGGGTTGACGAGTCCCGTGGGTGGTGCTAGCACGAAACACTTGTTGAAGTCGGAAGACGGATTGATCTCAAGCCACCTGCCCCACGCATCTCACATGACCAGTCACCACCTGCCGCATGCCTCGCCCGGAAGCGGCGGCGGAGGTAGTGGGACTACGGCCGTGCGGTCCTTGTCCCATGGCCACACGTCCCAGTCATCCACCTCGTCGTCGTCGTGTTCGAACCAGTCCAGCTCCGATCGGAACAAACCCAACAAGCCTCACATCAAGAAGCCGCTCAACGCCTTCATGCTCTACATGAAAGAAATGCGAGCAAAGGTAGTGGCAGAATGCACCCTCAAGGAGAGTGCGGCCATCAATCAGATTCTCGGCCGACGGGTGAGTCGTGGACGACGAATATTTCATTTTAACGAATCTATCTGTGAATTGATGATCGGCTCTGTTCGACGAGATACAGCACCGTACTCATTATTCTGGTATACTGTGCTGTACAGCACCCTGTCAGTTCCCTCCCTTCCTAATTTGCCTCTGGTTATATGCGAGGTTATGCAGATCTCGGAATCCGTCTCCGTGGCGGACGGAAGTGGGGAAAGGAGCGAACTGATGACTGTCTCATCATTTTTTGATAGCTTCCCCCGTACCAGGTCTCTCTCGGGTCAGCCAGCCGGCGTTTAGACCTAACGAATCTATTCACTGTACTATGTCATGTGCAGCATCCAGTTAGCATGTTACAGGTGAACTGCAGATACTGTACCGTATACGATCCCCTTCGTGTACATAAACTGTTTCCGATGTTATCGCGTCTGTGCATGTCCTGATTCATCATATGAACAAGATACATATACTGTATATATATATTTAATGTGCAGTATATATACAGTATATATATATATATATATACATATATATAAAGTACTGTATATGCGTGTGTGTGGTTCTAGTGGCATGCATTGTCGCGAGAAGAGCAGGCGAAATATTACGACATGGCTCGGAAGGAGAGGGAGCTGCACCTGCAGTTGTACCCGGGCTGGACGGCGCGCGAGAGTTACGCCGCGAAAGCCATCAAGAAGAAAAAGAAAAAAGACAAGTCCCTGGATGGAGGTAGAGATGTCAGGCCCAAGAGGCAGACCTGTCTGATTTTGTTTCTTGGTTTGGTTTCTGGGTTTCTTTCATTTCTTTCCATCTGTCTCTAAAACCCGGTTTTGGCTTATTCCTCCTGGTTATCTCTGTTGGTTTATTCTTGGTTATTTACAGTAAATCTTTCATGGGTAATCCATTTCCCAGTATATGTGTATGTGCGTGTGTGTGAGAGAGAGAGAGAGAGAGAGAGTGTGTGTGTGTGTGTCCTCGACCGGGCCGAGAGTTTTCTTTTCGTCCCCTTTGTTTGGATGCCTGACTACCAAGAGTTGTTCCTTTTAATTCGCCGCCGCGCGGGATCAAGACCGAGGATAAGTGGGGAGAATGCGGATGCCTGTAGGAAGAGGAGTAGTCACAGGCGGACGAGTCGTTGCCGATGTGCGGGAGGAAGGAACGATGCGGGACGTCGTTCGGCGGCGACGCGTAGGCGATGCTGTAGGAGGGCAACGCGGGTGTAGTTGGTTGGTTAACTAGCTTTTGTAGGGGGGGGGGGGGGGGGGGGGGGGGGGGGGGGGGGGGGGGGGGGCGAGGTGTGGGTGGGGGTGGTGGGGGGGGGGGGGGGGGGGGGGGGGGGGGGTGGTGGAGGAGGAGGAGGTCTGAATGAATGATGCTGCAGGCGCCGATTTCGATGCTCGCGCGTTGCTTGACAAACTGGGTGGTGCTCAGACTTTCATTTATGCGCAACGAACGATGGTACTGTATGTGTTTTTGCGGCCGTAGCTGGCTGTTTTTGGAGATTGGTGTCTGCGATTCTTGTCCCCTGTCCACCGGGGCGAGTGCCGAGGAGGTCTGAGTGAGTTTCCCAATTACAGTGGCATGCACTGAGCAAAGGCGAGCAGGCCAAATATTACGAGATGGCGCGAAAAGAGCGGCAGATCCACATGCAGATGTATCCTGGCTGGAGCGCGAGGGACAACTATGCCCAGAGCGGCAAGCGCAAGTCCAAGAAGCGTCGGCGAATGGTGGTGGTGGTGACGACAGCCGCAACGGGAGGCCCGACCGCGATGGCCGGAGGGATCGGGACAGCGACAGTAGCAATGACCACGATGGTGGGGACGACAACGACGGCAGCAGTGGGAGCGACAACACCAGTGACGACCGCCGTGACTCTGACTGGTGGCGTTGTTGGAAGTGGCAGCATCCCGCTGTCCATGAGCGTCGTCAAGTCAGAGTCGTCCGACTCCAAGTCTCCTGCTGATGGCGTGCAACACCACCTGCCGTCTATTGTTCTGCCGCCTCACCTTCTCCCACAGCAACTCCATCATCATCATCAGCAGCAGCAGCATCATCATCATCACCACCACCACCATCACCACCACCAGTCTCCTTCGCACTACTCGCCGTCTTCAAACGAGTTCACGTGCTTGTCCGACTGCGGACCTGACCTAAATGGAGGAGGTACTGGGGCCCCTCGAAACACTAGGCGTCGTCGTCGTTTTTCTGGTCCCCGCCGGGCTACTCGTATTGACGTGCTCCGTGCGCGTCCTCTAGTCGTTTCAGTTCCATTCTTCGTCTTATTTATTTATATATTTGTTTGTTTTCCCCCGGCCCCTTGCGTTCTCCTCGTCCTCCTCACCCTCTTCACAGCCGAGGAGGATCACCGATCATGAGAATGATGTTTCTTTTTCTTCTTTTTTTTTTCTCTTCACTTCCCTGGGTTCAATTCTTGGTCTATTCCATCTTTTTTTTTTTAACTTTTTCTTCCTCTCGAGATCCACTAGGGATGCCTTTTCGGTTGTCATTGTCGTCGTCTGTGATTGCCTGCTTCTTTGCCATTTTTGGTTCCGTGTAAAAAAAAAAAAAACCAAAAAGACAGTCGTAGAGCGCATTGTGGGTCGGGACTCGTTACACGCTACCCCCCGCCCAAATGTCGAAGAAAAAAGGAAAGGAAAAGTGAGGAGAACATGAAAGGAGAACAGACACTCGCGTTCCTTCCTCCCTGGTTCTTGTTGCACGGCGCTTGTCAATCGTTGGTTATCAGCACTTGGTTATATTTCGTTCCTGGTTTGCACGCCTTGTTGCTTGCTCGCGTTATTCTTCTCTTGGCTGGTGCTTGAGTAGGTGTCGGGTTTCTGTCCTCATTCGCACCTGAAAAGGAAACGCGTATTAACGCCGATTGTTTCTTTGTTTTTTCTTTCTTTCTTTTTTTTTTCTTTTCCGAAAACCTCTGCCCTGGTGCGTTTACTCTTTCGTTTCTGCACTCGGTCGGATGGATGGATGGATAACCAGGGAGCAGCATGAAGAAGTGTCGAGCCCGATACGGTCTGGAGCAGCAGAGCCAATGGTGCAAACCCTGCAGGTGCGTTCATCTTCCGCTTCTTTTCTTGGTGACGGCCGGCGAATCTTCTTTGTACAGTACTGTAATGTGGGCAAGTCGAGCGACGCACCGCAAGAAATAGACGCTTTTCCCGTTTTCGTATGATGTCTTCTGGTCTGCGGACCGTGTGTGTCGAGCTTTGACGTCGCTGAGTTGGCGGGACGGGAAGGGGAAGATTAAAGTACAGTACAGTGCTGTAGCAGGTGGCACACGACGCCGATAGTGTAAAAGTAACAAACGGCGTGCTTAAAATGCAGCAGAAATCCTAACCAATTTGTCGGGTAAAAGCAGACAAATGCAGGGATAACGTGCCGTGCGTAGTCTCTTGTTTGTCCCGCGGGTAGAGCGAAAAAAGAACGAGTTGGCAACAGGTGACGGGGGTTGGTTTCCTCTTGCTCACCCGCCCGATCAAGCTCAGTACAGTACAGTACAGTAGTAGTTCATCTTGGGTTTGACTTCCTCGCCGGCGTCCAGTCACTTGTCGGCTTCCCTCCTGATGATTGGCTGGCTGCTGGTGCACGAGGAAGACAGTTGTAAAATCAGAGAACCAAGGATCGAAGGAAAGAAAGAAAGAAAAGAGTGTGTGTGAGCGAGCGGAAGTTGAAGGTTTAGATTAACCGAGGTACATTTGGAATTTCCATCGTTACTAATGCTGTGAATCTTCTTTCTCTTGACCTTGCCTTGCCCTGTTCTGATCTCTCGTCCCCTTTTCTCGTTCTCCTCCTCACTCCTCTCCCCACTACCTCCCTTTTCTTCTTCTTCTTCCTCCTTCCTTTCCTTTCTGTACCTTTCTTCTTCCGCGTCTCTGGTCACGTCGTGGACTGCAATGCAATGCACTGCACTGCACTGCACTGCACGGCACACTACACTACACTACATTATACTCTCCCGCGCTGAACTGAACTGAACTGGTCAACAACAACAACAAACTATTCTATTCTATTCTACTCCACTCTACTCTACTCTACTCCGCCGCTTGGTTTTCCCGCCCGCCGCGAAACGACTTGTCTACTCGCAGTCCATCGTGCCAGTCCCTCTCCCCGTTGACGCCGCTGAGTGGACCGAGGTCCAATGAGCCACCAACGGCGGCGACGAGCTCGAGCCACCAGGCCGTGCCGCAGTCGTCATCGCTGCACCAACCCGTGCTGCTGCTGAGCTCGTCGCCTGTGTCCACATCGGCAGGCACGCCGTGCGGAGTCACGGCTGGCGCAGCGAGTGCCAGTTCTTTCAGCGATTCCTCTCCACCCACCTATGTCGCTCTTTGATCCGCGTCGAATTTCTCCTCCGCCTCCTCCATCTTCTCCTTATTTTTATTATTATTATTATTATTATTATTCTTTTTTTGTTCTTGTGTGTTTGTTCCCCCCGCTGTCTTTCCGTGCGTCAAGATACATTATTTATATACTGTACAGTACAGTATATGATGATAATACTGTAACTCGCTCCATCTGCGGTAACCAACTACGGTACATCCACGTAAATAAATGAACAAGTGCAAGTGTATCTATCTATCTATCTATCAATCAATCATGCAGCAGAAATCATTCTTCGTCCGTCTAATAATTAATATATCTATAATCTTACTTACTACTGTATTATCAGTTTGCGTTAAAGTGCCTTGTTGAAAGTTTTAGTCCGCGCCAATGCTGTTGGGGAAATTGAAATGTAATCAACTTGGCGGGAAAGGGCACGTGCTCTGTGGACTCCTCATGAGGAAAAAAACAAACAAGCAATAGATAGATAGATAGCCCTTTGTACCAACCTAAGGAGTAAATCAGAATCCCCAACCGAGCTGCAGCAGTGGCCGAGCGAGAGCCATCTACGATCCATTGCAGTACTCTATTCTACTGTACTTCCCGCGGTTCTGATGCTGGGGGAAATAACTCGGTTCTGTCCTTACCTTTCCCGTGTGATGCAAGATGGTGCTTAACCCACACGTCGGAACCCGGTTTACCTCTCCTACATAGAACCTTCATTCCAATACCATCACTTCGGCGGCGTCTTTTTTGGCTTCCTTCGTCTTCTTTCCCTCCTCCTCCTCCTCCTGCTGCTTTCCCGCCCTTCACTCGTCGTCTTCTGTTTCATCATCTTCTTCCCTGTGCAATGTTTCACAATTGAGTACTCGCCGAGCACGCCCACGTACTGTTCATGGCTGGGTTCACTGTGAGTGCTTCTCGATTCTATAATTCTCGGCGTGGTTTTGTTGTTGTTGTTGTTGTTGCTGCTGTTGTTGTTGTTGTTGCTGCTGCTGCTGCTGCTGCTTCCCACCATGGAGATGCTGGCTTTTTGTCTCAACAGATAACTTACTACGTCATAGTTGTGAAGGACGTGTTCCTTTTGTTAGTTTTGCATCTTTTCCCTCTGTGCAGTACACCACAGCACCTACCCTGTTTGTCCGAGCATTAAGTTTGGGGATCACAGGATGCCGCTGTATCATCTGTACTGTAGTGTGTGTTCACCAAGTCTCCATACAGTGCGGTACTGTATATGTGCGTGACAGGATGTACATCACAGTACTGTAGTGTAGTGTAGCACAAACCTGCATGCACAAACTTATAGTGTTCGTGGGGGGCTTTTGGCATGCATGGAAACCATTAGTTTCGGGGTTGATGAGCCAGATGTCGCGTGCAGCAAGCATGTTTCTGCCTACTTGGAATGACTGACTGACTGCCAGCCTGTCTGCATGCAATGCCTGTACTGTACTGTACAGTACAGTACTTCACTCTTTTATTGTTGGTTTTTCTCTGGTTGCTTGCCCTGTCGGATGGCGTTCGACGGCATGAGCGTGATGATTCATTGCTGTGCTGATTTCGAACAGCGCATTTCCGCGTGCAACAAACGCAAATTAACGTACAGCAAGGTTTACTGTCCAGTACTACGATAAATTGGCCAAGCGCGGCGGTTGTTCCGAAAGCAGTTGACTCCACGTAATCCGTGAAATTGAGAGGCTATTCCCGCGATCAAGACACCAGTGAGAAATACTATACAATCATGTGGCTACATCCTCTATGGTTTTTTGTTTGTTTGTTTTTGTTTTGTTTTTTATCTTTTTTTCCTCTCTTCTTGAGGGGATGAGGGTTCTGGAGAATTATAGCACCTATTCATCCCAGTTGCGCGAAACATGCGTCAGGCTGCACTTGCCAAATGGATCCATCAAGATAGATCCTGCACAACTCCCCACCCCCCCCCCGAATTGCGCGTTCTGCTTCCTACTCTGACTCTCAGAGTGTGCAATATTTTGAACTTAAAAAATCAGTCGGCGCTGACATCCCAGACACTCCTGTATCTCGATTTTTAAATTTTGTTTCTATAATGTACAGCGCATGCTGCACTCAGAGTCACATCAGCAGTCGTGAAAATCGGTTAGCGAGTGCAGCCTGAACATCCCTATTGATGAGACACACAAGCCAGCACGTCATCTCGATGAGGGAGAATTGGTGTGTGTGTGGGTGAGGATAGAATTGATGAATCATTTAGCATGGGGAACGTGGAGGAGATGGACTTTTGAAGCAACCGTCGGAATATGTATAAGAACGCGACGAGAAACGACGAATCCTCCTGACAAGAGACAAAACAATGAGAAATGGGATATACCCTTGCATTCTTCTAATCCAGGGCTTTTCAACCTTTCCAGGCACCTACCCCTTTTCATCCATGAAAACAGTTGTGTACCTCTGGTGACTTGAATCTCAAAATGTGGGTGTGAATAATATAATAAACCATATACGTTCTGGGATATAATGTCCTGCGCTTGAAGAGCCTCTTAATTACCTTTTCACGCCATCAGATATTTTTATGAAATGAGTGATCATCATAATTCATCCCAATTTCAAGGTCTTGTGAATTTAATACAAGTTGAAACAGGGAATCCCAGAAGACGGAGTTGTAAGCTTTGGAGGCTTAGATAAAGTATTGAAGAAACACACATGGAAAGTTTTAGCCATCATGCAGAGTCACAAGCGCATTTTTAGGGTTTAAAGTCTTGACATTTGTGAGTTCTATGAGCATCAGTTTTTGAACAAAAAAGAAAAGAATGTTTGCTTATTCTTCCAAAGAAATCATTTATAAAGTTGACTTTGATTTTTAAAATACATTTTTATGAAAATAAGTTGTCAATGAATATTTTTAATAATCCATTTTCAAAGTCCAAACCTTTTTGCTTTTCAATCTTTTCCTTGTTTGCTGGATTTGTTACTAATGCCCGCTAAGCATTTGAGGGCATTCTTTTGAATTTCTGTGTACAACTTTATCCATTAAATTATGCAAAAAAACCTAATTTATTTTTGGAATGACGAAGATGTGCTGTGCTCCCCAAATGCCTTGCTTGAAGCAATGATACTCTGTTGATGCAACATTTCAGAAGTTCTGGATTCTGAAAATTAATTACACATCATTGGATTATGATTAAAATGATATGTTTGTTTGGGCTTGACATTGACGGAATTTCAGGAAAAGTCTCAAGATTGCCTTTGATTTCTTAGAAATTACAGAAATAAATTGAAGAGTTAACCTGATTGAGAAGCAAAATTTAATTTGTTTCTGTTTTCATGTGATCAACAGGCTTTTGTCTTTTGAAAGCTGCATGGAAAGCTTGAAGCACATATTTTTCAATTTTTACCAATTTACAAAAACAGTATTAGGAATAACCCAAGAAAGGTAATAGATGAATACAAAAGTACAATATAATTAATGATGGACAAAAGAGAATCTAGGCCCCACCTTTTCCTAAAAAAAATTCTATAAAAATGAAATTAAACTATCAAAATGCAAAATTAAATTCCCTGTTGCCTTTGCAGAGTTGTTCCTGGGTGAGTTCCCATTTTTTATATTTTTGGGGACAGTAGGCGCTTACCCCCTGGCAAGCACTCGCGTACCACTAAGGGTACGTTATACCACAGGTTGAAAAGCCCTGTTCTAATCCATTCATTTTAATCATTCAATGTCATGATATTGACTGATTCGTTTGTTTGTTTGTTTGTTTGTTCATGTTCATTCATTCATTCGTTTGTCGATTATTGTCGGTGATGGCAGGAGAAAGAAGAAGTGCATCCGGTATATGGAGGGCAGCGAAAACGGGATGGAGAATCCCAACAGCGTGGCTTCGAGTCTGGATGAAGCCAACACGCCCGACTCCAACAAGACGGACAACTCCATTTCCGGCTCCATGTCGGCATCCGGTTCCGGGTCAACGTCAGACCGCGAGGGCCACCGGTCCATCCTCAGTCCGGCCATGAGCATGAGTTCCCCCCAGAGCTTACCCCTCACCTCACCTATGATGCTTCCTTCGCCGAGCCTCTCACTCATGTCACCCATGACGCCAAACTCGGCACTCTCCAGGTTGGTTGGTTCATCTGTCCTGTATAGCATGGAAAGTAATGTACTGTACAGTGCTGCACAGAACGGCGTTTTGTGCTGATGCATAAGAACCCAGTACAGTGTACTGTACAGTATTACACTTTCTTCAATATCGTGTAGTATACAGCTAGTACAATAGTTGGGGGGGGGAGGGTATATAGAATGTTCGCGCTCCTGCATGAACTCATTGTCATTGCTGTTGAAGAGTGTACAGGCAACAACTCCCGAGTTACAAGAAACAGAGCAAGTTGTCCAATTGAGCTACAACTGGATGATGCTGAATGAAATAATTTTGAGCTGTTAGCAGAACATGCCAGTTCCTTCATTGACGAGTGACGGTGGTGTATCAGAATTGGATTCATCGACGATTTATTGAGGCGTCAAACCAACGAACAAAGATACCCTGTGTCTCTCTCTTATTGAATACAGTAGACAGTGAGACCCCCAGATGCGGACATAATTGGTGCATCAAGAGTGTCCCTATGTCGGATTGCCCGCTAAGCATTTGAGGGCATTCTTTTGAATTTCTGTGTACAACTTTATCCATTAAATTATGCAAAAAAACCTAATTTATTTTTGGAATGAGGAAGATGTGCTGTGCTCCCCAAATGCCTTGCTTGAAGCAACGATACTCTGTTGATGCAACATTTCAGAAGTTCTGGATTCTGAAAATTAATTACACATCATTGGATTATGATTAAAATGATATGTTTGTTTGGGCTTGACATTGATGGAATTTCAGGAAAAGTCTCAAGATTGCCTTTGATTTCTTAGAAATTACAGAAATAAATTGAAGAGTTAACCTGATTGAGAAGCACAATTTAATTTGTTTCTGTTTTCATGTGATCAACAGGCTTTTGTCTTTTGAAAGCTGCATGGAAAGCTTGAAGCACATATTTTTCAATTTTTACCAATTTACAAAAACAGTATTAGGAATAACCCAAGAGCAGCAGCAGCAGCTTCAGAATAATCGAAAGGAACCCCCCTATATATATTCGAAACAATATACCTCTTTTCTTTTTATACGAGTTACCCTCGGGTGGGGCTTCATGCCCGGGGTAGTGGAAAGGAAACCATATTTCTTACGTGTGCCCTTTTATGACCCGTCCGTCGCAGCAGCTGGAGGAACAAGTCCTTGAAAGCTTGAGTGATCAGGAAAGCGGAAGCGGGATAAAGGAAGTGGGTCTCTTTGGCGCAAGGAAGCAGCAGTCCTATGAATGAGCCGATCAAGCGAACCATCCCCGACCACATACTGATTTTATCGAGAAGAAGAAAAGCAATAATATGGAGACAAATGCCCTGACTTGTTCCCTTAGATTGGATTCATCCTCGTGGGCTTCTGGTAAATCCAGAATGTCTGTCTTTCTTTCTCTCTTTCTCTCTCTCTTTTCTTGAACTGCTATAGGACTGAGATGATTTTTTTTTTTGTTCAAATCCGGTCAAGACCACCAGTGGAATCTGGTACACATACTTGGACATGGGCAAGTCAAAAACGTGGCTTATTCGGATTCCCGGTTAATCCTTGGCTGATACCCTCTAGTCTAATGCAATTTAAATCTCCCAGATTTATTCCATTTACTTATTTTTATTATGAAGAAGAAGGACATGGGCAAGTCAAAAACGTGGCTTATTCGGATTCCCGGTTAATCCTTGGCTGATACCCTCTAGTCTAATGCAATTTAAATCTCCCAGATTTATTCCATTTACTTATTTTTATTATGAAGAAGAGAAGCAATAATATATGGAGACAAATGTTCTGACTTGTTTGCTTAGATTGGATTCATCGGGGGGCATCTGCTAAATCCAGAAATCTCTATGTTTTTTTTCTTCTGTCGTCTCTCCATGGAGTACTACAGTATATAAAGATAATTTTTCACATCCGACATTAAGCAATGACAGTACTGTAGAGTCTGCTACTACAGTTGGACCTGGTCATGTTAAAAACGTCCCTCAATCGGATTTACAGTTGATCCTCGGCCAATTCCCTGACATCTAATTCAATTTAAATCTGCTTGAATTTTTTGTTACAGTGTTATGAAGAAGAAAATCAAAAATATCGAAAAAAATGCTTTGACTTGCTCGCTTTTGATTGAATTCATCGGTGGGCTTCAGGTGAATCCACTATGTCTTTTTTTTCTTTTTTTATTTCTCTATGAACTACAGTATAGCACTAAGATGAGTTTTTTCGTAGCTGGTAAAGACTAGTGGAATCTGGTGCATGGATGGATCTGCTGGACAGGTAAAAAATGTCCCTTATTTTGATTTCCACTTAATTCTTGTCTAATGTCCCAAAGTCAATGAATAGTTCAAATCTCCATGACTTTAAATATTTTTGGTGACTTTTTAGGCACTCTTGTTGTAAATTATGTCCTCGTTGTAAAATACATGTTCCAAAGAATAAGAAAAAACAGATGGAAATAAGTTTCTTTGTTCTCTCTACAGAGGGATTGTGCATCTTCCTTCAGGTGGAGGATATCTGTTAAAAAAGGAGAGTTCCGATATTTTGACAGGAAAATGATTTTTAAAAATAAAATATTGAAATGAAGCCAAAAATCTCTGCCAATTTTTTGTGAGTCAATCCCAATTTGACTTGAAGAAGTTCAACCATATTTGCAAGTGAAGCATTTTATTCACATTTATCACAAAGTCAGCAATGCTTCATATCATAGAAGAATTGCTGGAAATTGTAAACGGTGATATTCTGGACCTTAAATTACTTCTTAATCCTTGGAAGGCAGGTTGATTTCTATCAAGCAGTGGAGCTGGGATATTTTTGCAGGCTTACGCATTTGGGTTTGACCAATGGTCACTGAAAAAAAGCCTTGGGTGGATAGTCAGGAAAAATGTGGGAAAGGTGAAGTTATTTTTATTTGGACCCCCAAAACCCGAATCCTATAGAGCACGCATGCTGGAAAAAAATGCCACCCAGCTGGGTTTTTGTTTTGCTTTGGAAAGATAAAAAATTGGGAGGTTTCTTGACTTTCACTCTTCTGACCTGACCATGATTAGTTTTCTGATGCTGCATGGCTCCAAATTCTGCAAACATTTCCTGGCTCTGCCACAGAAGGGTTAAATGAGTTGACAGGGTGCTGGACATGAAGGCAGGGGTTCATTTGCTCAGATCATCTTCCACATCCTTTCAAAAAACATAAATTTTCAGGAAGTTTCTTATTGCTTTTTTTTCCTGTGACAAGAAAATAAGTGGAAAAAAGCTCAAGAAAATTTGAGTTAGGAAGGTTTTGGAGGAAATGGCTTTGAGTTGGAGAGCGTTTTTAATGCATTGCCTTTTAGGGAATTCAGAGGGGGACATGAAAAAAAATATTTCTTTTATGGAGGTACAGCAGTGAGACCCCCAGATGCGGACATCATTGATGCATCAAGAGTGTCCCTATGTCGGATTGTCCCCGAGTCGAATCTTGTTTTCCCATAGACTTACATTGTATAATTTTTAATTGGTGTTTTATGAAAGAAACATTCTTCAGAATTTCAAGAAAAAAATTTTTGCCACTTGAATTTAATTCAATGAATATGTTTTCAAACCATTAAGAACATTTGGAACATTGAATAGTGTACCTCTGTACAATAAATTGAAAAGTTGGCATCTGGAAAAATAACATCCATGTCACAAAGAGAGCTGGAAGGAAGTCCCTCTGTGCTATAGGGCATTTTTTAAATTAGCTCAATGGATGGGAAAAGTACCAAAGAATTTTTCTTGCATGGATCTTAGGTTGGAAACATCTGTTTCTTGCAATTAAGCCTTAAAAAAATCAATTTTCCTAAAATTAATTTTGGAATTTTATCCTGCCATGTCCCCAGGTCTAGTCAATGTCCTCATGTTGGGTATTTTTTATGATTTTTTTCCTAAAAAAAAAAAATGTCCACAGGTCGAATTGTCCCCATGTTGAGGTGTCCGCATGTGGGGGTCTCACTGTATAGTCAAATCACCCTCAAGTGCTGTGCTGTACTGTTCTTATGCTCCGGCCCGAATCCCCGCTGCATGGTGGATTAATTTCCCAGGTACCCTCTTCTGTATGTACGCAGTAGTCTGTGGGGAACGGATTGCATTGGTCATCAACCCAGTTTGCGGGATTGAAAAAGGAGGAAATTACGGACAGATCACGTGCACTGTAGATACTGTATTATAGAACCTATGGTTTGCACTGTATGATTGTGTATACTCGACAGACAATCCTTGATGTCCACTGCAACTGCACGATGGTTATTGCTGCAATAACCAATGAGGGGACCAAAAGGTTGTAAGGTGTGATGCGGGAAACATGAAGATTTTGATGGAATAAATCAACAGGGCAATCAGCCTTTACAAGGCTGGATCCTCCTTACAGGAGTCCCAAGAACAGTTCAAGTTTCAATATCAATGCTCTAACAACAATCAGGCAAATAATACAGACACTTCACAGAATAGTCACAAATGCAACAACAGATCAAGAACCAAATCAGCACAACAGTTAATGCAACAGGGAACTCCTAGGGAGATGCTTCTTTCACAAGATGAAGTCAGCGAGTGACCATACTGGTCATTGCTGGCTTCCTCTACAACTTTGGTTCAGACAACTTTCAGAACAAGTTTCTGCAGCAGGTGAAATTTGGTGGAAGGTAGCAAGAGCTTCCATCCTGCCATTTCATACCTCTCGTTGCCAGGCACCAGTTTTTCAGAATCCTCCGCGAATACGCTACGAGGGGCCCCGGCGCAACCCAACATAAGGACCATGTGAGCCAATTGCATGCTTGATTGATGTCACACATGCAGCGGTGCCCGCGTGCAGCCGCTATAGAATTCAGCTGGACTTGCCCTGCCTTTTTGCCGCAGCGTACAGCACTCTTCTCAATGCGATTTCAGAGACACACGGACGTCTTTTGTCATCGATGAGGGTTTGCCCAGTAAATTCCTATAGTCTTGCGACAATAAGTACCCAACGTCACGAGTTAATTGCTGCTCTGTCCTGTGCAGCATTGGTCGTACTGTATGAGGGTTCTAACAAAAGTTCTCGGACCAAGGTCCAATGAGCCACCAACGGCGGCGACAAGCTCGAGCCACCAGGCCATGCCGCAGTCGTCATCGCTGCACCAACCCGTGCTGCTGCTGAGCTCGTTGCCTGTGTCCACATCGGCAGGCATGCCGTGCGGAGTCACGGCTGGTGCAGCGAGTGCCAGTTCTTTCAGCGATTCCTCTCCACCCACCTATGTCGCTCTTTGATCCGCGTCGAATTTCTCCTCCGCCTCCTCCATCTTCTCCTTATTTTTATTATTATTATTATTATTATTCTTTTGTTCTTGTGTGTTTGTTCCCCCCGCTGTCTTTCCGTGCGTCAAGATACATTATTTATATACTGTACAGTACAGTATATGATGATAATACTGTAACTCGCTCCATCTGCGGTAACCAACTACGGTACATCCACGTAAATAAATGAACAAGTGCAAGTGTATCTATCTATCTATCAATCAATCATGCAGCAGAAATCATTCTTCGTCCGTCTAATAATTAATATATCTATAATCATACTTACTACTGTATTATCAGTTTGCGTTGAAGTGCCTTGTTGAAAGTTTTAGTCTGCGCCAATGCTGTTGGGGAAATTGAAATGTAATCAACTTGGGGGGAAAGGGCACGTGCTCTGTGGACTCCTCATGAGGATAAAAACAAACAAGCAATAGATAGATAGATAGCCTTGTTTTTCGGGAGAATGTAATTCTATCTCTTGGAATTCGTGGTATTCCAGATTTTTAGTAACCATAAATTCTAACCCATTAAACGACGGACAAATAAAAAATCTCTTAATGTCCAAACTTGAAGGAAAAGCTCAAAAATTAATAGAAGCAGATAGAGATTTATTTTACGAGCCGTATCACGTAATAATTAAGTTCTTGAGAAAAATCTATGATACTGACGATCTAACTGATGGCCTTGCTGCTTTGGATTACATTAAACAAGAAGAAAATGAAAATGTAAGGGACTTTGCCTTGAGATTGGATCTGGCTTCCTCAAAATTAGATGCTGAACACACACCGGAAATTAAAGTCTTGCGACAAGATGGCATGAGAACTTTAATTGCCAATCCAATGTATGAACAAGAAGAAATACGTGCTCAGTGTCGTAGTACATTCCTGGCAGAAATTAAATTGAATAAGTTTATTAAAGGACTTTTGCCTATTATCCAAAAAAGAATGCCCGAAGTTCCAGACACTTATAAAGAGGCAGTGGAGAAAGCAAGGAAAGCCGAAAAATTTCTTATAATGACAGGAGAACTGCCATATACTTGCAAAACGTATACTATTTCAACTAATCCCAATAAAAACCATTCCCAACAAAGTATGCAGAAGAGAAATATTCCTGGCAAAAGTAATCCTGTTCCATTGAGTTCTCAAATGTGTTATGCCTGCGGAAAGTACGGTCATCATGCCGCCGATTGTAATGGAAACAGAAATTACCAACCTCAATCTAGACCTCAATATAATAGTAGACCCGCTATGAATAATTATCGCAACTACCAGCAAAATTATACTCCTCCTCCTCCTCGCATACCTTATCGCCGAGTTCATGGAAGAATGTGTGCCCCCTGGATGAACCGACCTACTCAGGGTTGTTCCCCTTTCCAGCAACCATCAGCGAATGTGGGACAAAGAAATAGGCCCCAAGGGCAGGCTCAGAATACTAATGCCGGACGCCCCCCTGCTCGAGGATATCCATCCCTCAGAAGGGGCGCCCCCACACGATCGTGCCGCTCATCAGGTAGGAGAGGTGGACCAGTAAGAAAAAGTAACAATAATATTACAGTACCCCATGATGAATTTGGAGAGTATGCCAAATTTAATGAGCACTCATACAATGCCATTGAAAATCGGTTACAATTAGATGAATATCCCTACAAGGAAATAGAATATTTAAATCCTGAAGATCAATATTATAATGGATACTATCCAGACAAAGAAGAAGACAATTATGGCGAATACGCCAAATATTGCTACCCGCATAATACAACTGAAAGGTTTGAAGAGAATTACGAGGTAGAATGTAACAATGTTCAAGAGAATAATCAGGGAAACGATTATTAACCGGGAGCGCAAAGGTTTCGCGACTTCCGGTAATACCTATCTTCTTTGATCAAAATGATAAAGAAATTAAATTACTAATTGACACCGGATCCGAAATATCCTTATTAGACAATTCCTTAAATACAGACACTATCTCCCCTAGCAATATAGTAATCAACACCTTAAAAGGAAGCAGCATACCCGCAATCGGAAAAATAAATAAATCTATCATATATAACAATAAAACCATTAATAAATGTACATTCCTATTAATCGAAAACATAAAAAATCCCAACTTTGATGGAATTCTAGGATCAGATTGGCTTAAGCAAAATTCTGTAAAAATCTGTTATAAGACCAATAAATTAATTGTAAATAATCTTTATATTCCTTTTACCTTAAGAAACTCTTCTTTAAGAAATTATCAAATGAACAATAACCCTAGCTTTCGTTTATATCCTATTTGCAAAGAAACAATTCCTTCCCAATCACATATGCTTATAAAACTGAAGATGTCGTCAGAAAATGCAAAACGATTCAAAAACAAAGATATCCTAGTTAATCCTGCAATAGGACCAGATCAAGACATTATTATAGGAAGATCATTGTCGACTGTATCTGAAAATGGATTTGTGTACGTCTTTTGTATCAACTTGGGTAACAAGAGTGCTATTCTAAATTCCTCGCTAAATATAGCTTCAGCAGAATTACTGAGTGAAGAATACCTCGTAGCCCATATTTCCCAAGAAGAAAATCATCACCCAGATATCCATATTCATGGATTAGAGGATGAAACAGAAGAAACTACTGAAACCATGATTCAATCTAGTCTAGATAAATCTAAATGTCCCGCAAATTTAAAAGGTCGCATAAAGAAACTTCTTGATAAGTATTCCAAAGTATTGGCTAGGAGAACTGACACTCTTGGATTATGTGATATTTATGAACCCACCATTCCTTTAGATACTGATGAACCCATCAATACAAAACAATATCCTATTCCTCATTTTCAAAGAGACGTAATGAATAAATTTGTAGAAGACATGAATAATCAAGGTATAGCTTGTCCTTCTACTTCTCCTTATAATTCTCCTACCCTTATGGTTAAGAAAAAAGATGGAGGATGGAGAATGGTCGTTGATTTTCGTAAACTTAATGATCATGTTATTACCGACCCTCATCCATTGCCTAGAATACATCAAATATTTGAAGAACTAGGTAAAGCAAAATATTTTACAGCATTAGACCTAGTGCATGGATTTTATAATTTAGTTATACATCCCAAAGATAGACATAAAACAGCATTCTCAACCCCTTTGGGGCATTACGAGTTTATACGACTACCCATGGGATTAAAGAACTNCATAGTTATATACTCAGCTGACGCCGAATCACACTTAGAACATTTAGAACAAGTATTCAAACGAGTTAAAAAAGCTGGACTAAAAGTGAAATTCAGTAAATGTCAATTTTTCCTAAACGAAATTGAATATCTAGGTTTCCTAATAAGCACTAATGGTATTCATATCACCAAAGAAAAATTGAAAGCTGTCAGAGAATTTCCCACTCCTGTTAACGTTAAAGGAGTACAAGCATTTTTAGGCCTTACAGGTTATTTTAGATCTCACATCGAAAATTATGCAACCATAGCTAAACCCCTGCATAATCTTCTCAAGAAGGATGTAAAATTTGCATGGGGAAAAGAACAAGAAAATGCCGTTAAGCATCTCAAAACTTGTCTAATGACAGCTCCCGTTCTAGCCTTCCCTGACTTCACTAAAGAATTTATTTTAACGACTGATGCATCAAATATAGCAATAGGAGCAGTTCTAACTCAAAAGGATGGAAAGAAAGAAAAATTAATTGGATGCGTATCTCGATCGCTGAATGCCACCGAAAGCAAATATCCAAATACAGATAGAGAAATACTTGCTGTATTTTACGGCGTTCAGAAATTCCGCTCTTTCTTATGGGGTTATCCTTTTGTAATAAAAACTGATCACATTGCTATCCCCTTTTTGAGTAAGCAAAGAAATAGTGACAGTCAGAGAGCCATAAAATGGTTTATGACTTTAAACGAATATAATTACACAGTTGAATATAAAAAAGGGAAGAATATCCCTCATGCTGATGCCTTATCTAGATATCCACCTATTACAAAAATGTGCAATTATTTATCACCTTCTTACTTTCTAGATGACTTGAAACCATATGTCCCTTTAGAGTTAATAACAAATTATCTTCAATTGATTCCCAAGGAAAAATGGCCTACCGGAAAAGATTTTGTAATAAAAAATAATAAATTATATAAATTAACGGAAGCAGGAGAAAGATTATGGATCCCCCCAGAAGTACGAAATTATATCATGGAGTTATATCATAATACTCCTGCCACTGGACATCCCGGAATAGATCGCACTATATTTTCTCTTAGAGAAAAATTTTATTGGATTAATTTAGAACGAGATGTAAATGTCTTCATAAAAAATTGTGATATCTGTCAAAAATTCAAAATGTATAGACATAATACTCCCATGATGTCATTACCTATTCCTAGCAGATGCTTCGAAGAAGTTAGCCTTGATTTAGTAGGACCTGTTCCCATTAGTGGTGCAGGAAATCGGTACATTTTAGTAATTCAGGATAGATTATCTCGATGGATTTCGTTTATCCCGTTAAAAAATGCTACTGCTGAGGTAGTGGCTAAATCCTTCTTGGATGATTGGGTATGTCTTTTTGGAGCCCCTAAAATTATTCTCACTGATCGTGGAACTAACTTTTTATCGGCTATTTTCAAAGAATTAGTCAAGGCTTTAGGAAGTAACGATTGTACTACTACCGCCTATCATCCCCAAGCGAATGGTCAAAACGAAAGATCACATAAAGAATTACACGAATATTTAGCCATTTATTCCGATCCCACTAACCATAGTAAATGGGATCATTTAGTCAAATTGGCCGCTTGGGTTCACAATACCCCTAAGCACGAAGCTATTCAATTGTCACCCTATGAATTAGTTACTGGTCAAAAACCTAATCTAAATTGGGTTCCATGGAATGTTTCTGATGCCAACGATTATGTGGATATTAAAGATTTTGTCCAAAAGAAATTAACTAACTTAAATTCCTTGAGAGAAAAAGCCAAGTTAATTATAGTAAAAA